CCGATGCTACAATATAAAAAGAAAATTATAACTAATTAATATAAACAATAAATATTTTTATTTCTATTATTTATTCATTGTAATATGATAAAAATACTTTGTATCTTGTAGTTTAAAGTAAAAGTAAAGATATATGTATATATTTAATCACATTATATGTATCAAGGAAATTGAAATTTTTATAGAAAAATGATTAAAACATTTAAGAAAAACTCATAAAAGTATAAATGTAAAGTGCATGCAAACATATATACAAATATATTTTTATAAAATAAAAACTGTATCTATTTAGATAGAAACTTAGAAGCACAAAATAAAATAAAAGTTAGTTACTTGGATGTAGTGTGGGCACATGTTGAGCTAAACGATCATCCTTGAGCATGTGAAGCAATGTGGTTTTGCCTGCGTTATCCAAACCTAAAAAGAGGAGCTTGCCACTCTTCTTCCATAATCCTGAAATCAATAGGAAAAGATTAAATGTAACAAACATGTAACAAACTTACAGGAAACTAGAAATAATTTTTTGAGATATAATGTTGCTAATAAAGAATGTCACATGAAATCATACAAATAAATCAATCATTTTTTATAATTTCTATATTCATTCATTTAGATACTAAATATATTTATCTAATAAATAATATTACTCCTTTAAAAATAATTAAAATAGTTTATTTGTATACGAGATTATAAATAATGGTTATAGTTCATGCAAATAAAAATATTACTGCAAAGAGTCATACATAATTTATAAATACAAATGCTACTTAAGATTATTAAAGAGTCCTATATCTTTTTTAAAAAAATCTCTTTTGAATGAAGGAGGATTATTGTTATCTTTGAGTTATATGATACAAAAAGAGTTTTATTTTATAATTGTTCTCTCAATGAAAACTCTAATTCAATGAATATTACTCCAATGAATATTACTCCAAATTAAATTCTAGACAATCATTCCAGTAAAAAAATCTTATTAACAACAGATATTTATAATCTCTGAATGCTCCGACTGTTATTATAATGGAGTACAATTATAATATTGTAAACAGACATTGAGATTTCTCAATCATTGAATTATCAAATAGCAGTGAATTAATGCGAGAAAAATTGTACTCACCAAGATAATTCAGTACTCCGGCGAACCAATCCCAAATAAACATATTTGTAGCTGCGATAATACGTCGTGTACCGTGCTGCGTACGTATTAACTAACGAATGACTCTGCAACAATAGTGAAGGCAAGTTAACAAGATACCACTGTCTGGCAGCGTGACCGATTGACCGACACTCGACCGCCACTGATTCTTCTTAAATCTATTCTCGCAACCTTGAACCTCCTAACGCAGAGAAAGCGGTATGAGGAGAGGATGTAAAGACAGATACCAGTACGTCGTGAGCGTGATCGTCGTCGAGACAGTCGCACGCGTTCGCTCGCGTGTCCCAGCGATTTAATTCCTCTCGCGGCTGCACTTCTCTCCACCTGCCCGGGGACCTCGTGTTTCTTCCCCCCCCCCGCTGCTGACAGCTTAATTAAGACGTTTGTTTAACTTTAACACGCGAGAAGTACAGAAAAGTGCAGCCGAAGTCGGAGCGGAACTGCGATGTGGAATTTATGACGATTCACTATTCTTCTCTGCCATATGATTGATGAGTGATTTATGAACCCAAGACGACAGCTCACACACCAGATTTTTGTCTCTTTCTCTCTCATACACACTCTCTTTCTCGTTTACTGACAGACGATTATAGCCTCTCGTGAATCGATGAGACACGAGATCGGCGACCGATCATTCGGGGAATCACGCGCATCACGTTGAAAAGCGATAGCTGGAGGCTTATTATTAGCCTACGTCGACGTATGTTTCACGTACCCACTGTGAAAAAGGCGTACGGAGGCCGCAGGGACGGAGAAAAGTACTTTTCCTCCCATAGAAAGAGCAGTCCGACCACAGAGCCCCGTTGGCTGGCAGTTGGCACTGGATGACGTCTACTTCCGTTCGCCATATTGCTGTGAAATGATTGCTGCATCATAAGCGCGAAACTTTAAAACATCTCTATTTTTTTTTTCATCCTATTTCTAATCGTATATAAGCCTATTTTTTATTTTATTATTATTAATTTTTCTCTACATATATGCTAATTTTGTTTCGTGTCATATGATATATAAACATCTCTCAATTCTCAAAACACAAAGCTATCTTTTCTACAAGAAAATTACAAATTTAATAATCATTCTGAAAAAGAAATTTTTCAGAATAAAAGTAAAAAAGTAGATCCTATCCTGACATATTTTATCCTTTTAATCTATGAAAAAGAGCATTCAGAATTTAAAGGCATATTCAGTACAAACTTCACATCTGCTTGATAATTTTATTAATAAACGTGTTGAAAATGATTTGCTTCTCGCATTATAAATTAGCGCACTAGTTAATCGAGAAAAAAAATTTTTATAAATACTTATCTGCTTTACAACATCAATCTTTATGTCAGAAGCACTGAGAGGTTTTATTGCAAAAATAATTTTTATCTTATCTGACGTCTTCCAAGTGCGTGTATAGAGAACGAGAAACAGAGAAGTTATGAAATATGTAATTAGTAAAGTAACGTTATCGAATTTCAAAACAAATAGCTCATATTTAAAACTCAAATAGCTCATATTTATGCTAATTATGGTATTACAAAATGTGTTATCGGCTTATATCTTAGTATATCTTTTTTCAAGCGTATTCGTAGTTTATTACATTTTTCATATAACGCTATATAATGAATTATAATACTATTCTACAATAATTATTAAATTAATACTTTCTAACACTTAAATTAAGAAAGTACCGTTAAGAAAATTAATAATTTTATTACAAATGTTAATAAAGTTTGTATTATCTTCGAGCTATTTAACTTAATTTAATGTATCTTACTATGTAACTTAATGTATCGACATGGTGCCAAAAATTATAAGAATATTGTAACTGCTACAATTATTTACATCGCATAAGCGAAGGAATTTAAAAAAAAAGAAATTCGCTACATACAACATTCACGATGTCAGATTGTGAAATGTACAAGTTTTAGTTGTTTGAATCAAAAGATTTGCTTAATTGCAGATATTAAATTTATCTACAATATTATCTGTTCATGTTATTTGCACCAATATCGAATTGGATAAATAAGTTACAATTTGTCTACAGCGCGTTTGGATTGGTTTTATTTTTATGAGATGAAGTAGACGATGGCATCCCACTTAATTTACTGGGTGATACAGGATATGTCTTGCCCGTCGAATCATGCACTGTGTTGTTATTCTGAAACGTAAATATATTTAAATTATTGCAGTATTGCGTGCTTTTATCGCGTTATAAAAACAATTTAGGATCAATTTTATCTTTGAAGCGTCCAAAGTATCAATAATATAAATTATTATAAATTAAATCCTGAATATTAAACTTCGAGACAAACAAAACATAACTTGCATAAACAAATACAGATTATCAAATTAGACTATTACAGTATTTCTTCATTCACATTTTATTTTCTTACAAATATTATGCAATTAATAATGTTAATTATTCCTTCAAATATTTCCTTCAAATTAAACAAACAAGAAAAGCTCTTTTTATATAGAATAAAACTGAAATAGTATTGTAATATTCATGTTTGTATTGTATTACATCAATTTCAAGTTATCAAATTTTCAAGTCTTTTTTTTTTTGTTGTAGCGTTTACATCAACGTTACAACTTATTAAAATTTTTCAAGTTCAAATTTTACGATCCACGCTTGCCTGGCATTACCTGCTGCAGATTCGGATTTGCATCCGAATTTGCAATGGCATTATACGTGGGCTGCCAATAATGGGAACAGGTTTGCATGTGTGTTGTCCAATGTGACTGCTGGCACGGATAATTACAATAAGCAGTGTTCCAGCAACAGTAAAACATTGCTTCCTGTCCGCACTTGGCGCACCATTGCTTCCGCTTGGTCTCCTCAATACATCGAATCTTTTCTTCTTCGACTTCCCTGCGAGCTTCCTCGACTGATCGCAGTTTCTCCGCTTCTAAACTCGCGCGCATCTCACGCAGAGTACGATCTGAAATTTATAACATTTCTTGAGGTGTTTTTGCAATAATTATCTGTCGAACGATTTTGCAAGAGAGGGAATAGGGACATACCGGCATTGTGTTTCAATTCAGCTAATTGTTGTTGGTGTTGCCATTTCATATGTTCAATCTGCATCCGCAAGAAAAATATCGTCGACTGATAATTATCAGCAGTACCATTCTCACCATTGCTGCTTTCTTGAGCCAAATCCTTGTATGCCTCTTCCATCAAATGGCCCATTTTTCTCGCGAGTTCGTGCGCATCATGATGCAAACGTGCGCTAATCGGCCCGGCTTCTGGAGGTAATAATTGATATGTGGACGACGTTTCTCGTCTAACTGAAGAAATTGGAACGGTTTCATCCGTGTCTGGTAAGGGATGTTGAATGTTTTGTGAACCATGTAATCTAACAGGGAGACTTTTCCTAGCCTTGCTTTCCCTTTTTAAAGGCGAATTCTGATGTCCCTCCTTTGTCACGGTGATTACATCTTTCTTACTCTGATAATCGACTGTCGATGTTTGTTTCGTAAAGTCAGATTTCTCATTCACCATGAGAACCACGGATTTATCCGTCACGGGAATGATCGGATTCATCGGTGAAACGGCGTGGATGACAGTCATATTTGGTGCAGTAGAGAGCGGCGATTGGGAAATGTCGGGTATGCTCTTTTGTGTATCCAATGATTCTTTGTTATTTTTCAACAGAGACATTTTAGGCATGACTTTGCTCGAATTTGATTTCTCATTTTCCTTGCTCGCGGAAGCAGAGTTTAACTCTTTTTCTGCATTCAATTTATCAACAATTCGCGTTTTTGGCTTCAGCACTTTACTCTTTGTATTCTTCGTACTAACCTTCGCGTTTTCCATTTGGGAGAGAGCCAGTTTGGGATTAATAATATTTTTAAAAGGTTTCTCTTTTGCACTCGCGTCATAGTCGTATCGGTCGGTGGTATAGCAAGTTTAGGCAAATTTTCCGTAGATGATTTTACTGCATTCTTCGTTTTCTGTGAATTATTCTTAATATTAGTGTTAGGACTTGTCCTGTTATTTTCTGTGATATTATCCTTAGGCAGACTACTTGCTCGAAGCGTTGATGTCTTCGAATTTCTTGATTTTTCATCTTTCATTGTTTTATTTTGAGCAAGTTCTTGAGGGCTTGATTTTACCCCTTGATCTATTTTCTTATCTAATTTACTAGTACTACTATCTACATTAGTCTGTGAGATTGAAGTATCCTTAACATCAATATCTAATTTTTGTACTTTTGGCGCTGCAGCTTCACTCTGCTTTTCACGATCAACAATGGTTTTTATATTACGTTTCGAATCAATATCCGTTTCACTCATATCAATCGACTCTTCACTCTGTAATTTACCTTTAATGAAACTCCGTTTTTTCTGAGGAAGTTTTTTCTTTGGAGAAGTTGGAGAAATATCAGGATTAGAAAAATGATTATTAGGTTCTAGAGGATTGTAATTCGGTAGCATTAGCTGTATCTGCATTGGATCGTTTGGATTGTACTGGATTTTAGGCGGTGCAAATTTGAACTGGCCGAACATAAGCGCCAGTTTTCTGCAATGCCGAGTGATCTCTCGCACACATTCATCCATATCAGTTTTCCGTTTACGAGGCTGTGGTGCGGGTGGCTCTTCGGAATACAAGTAGAGATCTTTTGGTGACACCCAAGCACGATCGTGTTCACCGAAAAAGCGAACGTCTACGAATCCTTGAGAGTTCACGCGAGGCATTGCTTTTGCTGGCCAGAACGGGAAACCCTTCAATTTGGCCCATACAAGTGGATGCGGTCGACGACAGGGCTCGACAAACCACGAAGGTTGAGGCCTCGACAAGTTCCGACCGTGCGCATAACAATCGGGACAGGCTTCGATCTCCGAGACTTCCTGACGTGCTACTTTAATAAGCTGCTTTGCCGCATTTGTCAGTTTCGATGTGTCTGTGTAAACTCCGCCACCTATAAATATCAACAGTGAATAAACTTTGTCTATTCAATTTTAATATTCATGATCTGTATAATTTAAAAGGACAATGAGTTTACATACATGTGTTGAACACGATACAATTGTGTTGAATCCACTTTGCATCAGCCATGAACGCATCGGTACTGCCGTAAAGTTTAGATCGTACATTTGATTCCAACAGGCTTAAGTCCATTGGTTTAATAACATAATCCAGATAATTTGGCACTTCTACGAGATCCACCGGTTTGCAAAATGGTTCAGACTGTATAAAAAATAGAATTTAATTAGAAATATACTAAATAAATGAATTACAATGACATTACAATACTTAATAAAATACTTAATAAGAGGATATATTAAATATAATACTTAATAAGAGGATATACGTACACCTGGATAATCGCATAACCTCTCAACCACATGTTTGAGCAACATACACAATTGATCGATAGACAATTGTGCCATAGCCAAGGAACGCGTCTCAGCATTTTCTGCTTTCAAGATGGTAGCGCATTCTCCACATATCCACTTCTCCAAGGATGATGGCATACCACCTATACATTTGCGATGCCATGAACGAGGACAGGCAGTGCAGAAAGCATCAACCTTCTCTTTGTGACATCGCCAACAAAATCGATCATTGCCAGGCTTCAGCTTTTTCCTCTTGCTTCTAGTCCCACTCTCCTCCATAAGAGATTCCATCGTCGTCGGATTGCTGGAAATATCAATTTTTTTTACATCTAAGATATAATATCAAAATTATTTGTTTTTTATGCAAGTGTAAATTTTTATAAAGATGTAATATTCTATGCTAACCTTGTAGGTTTTCGCTTTCGTTTTGAAATGGTTCCTTCCTTAGTCGAAGTATCCTTACCACTCTCACTCTTGATACTCCTTTCTTCATCTGTATTTTTTGCTTCTAAGGCTACATTTTGTGTCCCCTGTTTCTTTTCCATCTTATCATCGTCTTGCTTATTCGTATTAATTATCGATGACTTTAAATCTTCTCCATTTTCATTTTTTACATTCAGAACCTCACATTTCGTTTCTGAATTATTTTTTTGTATTATATTTTGATCGGTTGTATCTAATATTGAATTCTTCTCTTTTATATCGGTTGTATTATTCAGCTCATTATGCTGAACTAGTGGTAAAGTAATTGGTGATTTTTTCTCATCTGTCTTTGATTGTGCCGTCGCACTTGCTTTATCTGTGACAGAAGACTTTACCAACTCTTCGCTATTCTCATGGGACGCCATTTTGATCACCTTTTGTAACAATGCGTCCAGTTGATTTCATTCAGTTAGTTTAAAAAAAATTAAGCCTACTCTTTCTAGCTAAACTTCTTGCACCGTTCATCTTTCCTCTTTTTTTCTCTAAACATAAAGAGATAAAGAGGAAAGATGAATCGTACAAAAAATTCAGTTAAAACGAACAGATCTCTTATTAATGCAGATATATGTTTCATATGGATCCATATATATTATCTATTTATACAAACAGTACTTATGTTATCACAGCAATATAGTCGATAATAGCTATTATAATAAACTATTAAACTAGACTGTATGGATATAGATTTATTTCATTAATACTGATACAAAGATAAACGGTAACAATATTATTTCGTTAACTTTATGCCTGCAAGATTACCTATAAACTGCTGCATTACTAGAGGTAATTCAGGAAGCCTTCACCCATCCCGGGTACAAACTCAATTGTGAGATATTAGCATCCACGCAACCATAAAGTATCAGCGTGTGGAAGGTACTGCGAGAACGCACGCGAATGCGCACGAGATGTCGAGCGTAAACAGATCCTTTACCTTACGGTGATTCTAGGATTCCTAGGATGCGTCCCTGATCGTGTAGTTGACCGTCTCAGAACATCCTCGAAATCGCTCCTAGCGCGGCCTAGTGGATTGCAAACGTTAACGAACGTCGTATCCCAACGTCAATCGAGTCGTATCACTTACTGTCTTGTTCTTGTTCCGCTCGGCTCGACTCGACACCACACTAGTAAAGCTCGCCGTCTCTCTCTCTCTCTCTCCGTACACTGGCGCCACCCATCGATGGTGTCTCTGACGTCGCGTCCCGATCACGTGACGCTCCGTCCGTCTCTCGCCTATCTTTCAATCCCGTGTTTTTCTATCCGCCCTTCATCAAGAGATCGCTTCTATTAGAAGCCTAAGAAGTCAAACGCACGAGTGACAGATATTACTCATGTCTCCATACAATCCGTAGCGATTAGCGTGATTTCTTCTCAATCGCATCTTCCACACGTCTCTCAAGATTCTCCGATGCTACTCGCTCCGTTTCTTCTCCCATTCGAGCCTCGATCTCACTTGAAATGCAGAAAATGTAACGCGAAAGAATTCCAAAGAACGCATCGTTTATCATGACTTACCATTTTCTTTTTTCTTTCGAAAATTTCCGATCGATTATTATCGATGACGGAGTCTTCCCTTTTTAAGATGAAGCATCGTGCCTGCCATTGACAGCAGCGAAAATCGAACGGTCGCGTCTAGGAGACTCGTTCGATTAATCGGCTACACGTCCTGACAAAGGCGATGATCTTCAGGTAACGAATTACATCGTGTCGGCCTCGCGAAAAATTTCTTCCTGATTGTGGCATTCTCGCTATTCAATTGAAAACGAGGCGAAATTAGATCGTGCGACTGGATCGATGGAATCATCAAATCGCCTCAATGATGTAAACGCGAAACGTTCTCCTCGTTTGCGGATTCGCTGATTAAAATGTGACAGATCGAAGCTCTGATTACACCGCAACTTCTACGTCGCTCCGTGCGTGTCCGCAGGTTATGTGACCACGGTCACGTGGTGCGTGCGATAACCATAACCTAATCTTTCTTTCTCACTTTTCTCTCTCCTTCTCTTTCTCTCTTTGTTTCTCCACTGCGGCGAAGCAAAAGGGATGCAATACGATGCACAGTGAATGGTGTGATAGATTATGGATCGTGTAGAGCGTAGAGATAGTAAACAAGTCGCACAACAGCTGCGATTTTATCTAGTCCGTGCGACAAAGATAAATGGGGACTGTCGCAGATGAGTCAGTCGTCAGAAACGAGACTGAAGTGTAAATTTCTAAAAGGGAAACGTTCGAGCCTGGCGAAGCGAATTATGTCTCGAGTATCCCCTCGTGATACTCGTCTGCGGGCTACTTAGGTTATGTCGTTCCGTCAGTTTGTACTCGTCGGTCGCCACGTAGAGAGGAATTAAAACTGTCCATAATGGGCGATCACATCGGCGATAACATATTAATTCCGCAGGTCGACAACGTCGTGTTGATCGACAAGAGTGATGGCAATAACAAGAGCATGGATGGGACCCTATGTATTAGTGGTCACCATCTCATCTTATCATCCAGGCAAGACGATGGACAGGAACTTTGGGTAAGCATCGATAAATTTTTAAATAATTTTTTTTATTTAATTGTCTATCTATGAAATAAGATTAAATTTGAATCTCTCTGGTATAGATAATTCAGATTTAATCTTATTTATTTCGACACAAATTTTTAATTAAAAAAAATCAATTTTTTTTAATACTAGCATATTTCTTTAAAAAAGATTTATCTTTACTCTTTTTTTCTCATCAATATTGTCAAATATATTTTTCTTAAATCAATTCTCAATCTTATCAATCTTATCAAGTTTCTCTTTTTTGTTAGCTGATGAACAGGAATATTGACGTCGTAGAAAAGAAATTAAATGCTCAAAGTCCTGGTGGTAGCATAATATTGAAGTGCAAGGACTTTCAAATTCTTCAGTTAGATATTGGTTCTACCAATGATTTAATCAATGCCATATTATCCATAGAAAAGCTGATATCACTAGGTAATTTGTTAATATTTGCAACCACTTGACCATGAGATGTAATCATTGCTTATTTTGCAGACCAAACTCTACAATATCCATTTTTCTATCGACCACAGACAATCAACAATGCCATGGTACAGGTAGAAGATGGATGGACAGCATTTGCACCTGTCTCTGAATGGTCTAGATTGCTAGCGGCTCATGGAGACGAGTGGCGCATCAGTTACTTGAACAAGGATTATAAAATTTGTAATTCATATCCATCAGCAGTCATAGTACCACGTCAAGTAGAAGATAAAATTGTTATAGCTTCAGCTATTTTTAGAGATGGTGGGAGGTTCCCTGTTTTATGTTACAGACACGAGGGAGGGGTAAGTGATATATATCATATTAAATTATAAAATAACATTTAATAATCCTCATGATTTCTTTCTTTTCTTTTTTTACAGAGTATATTAATGAGAAGCAGTCAACCGTTATGTGGTGCTACTGGTAAGAGATGCAAAGAAGATGAAAAACTATTAAATGCAGTTTTAGGGCCTGGAAGACGTGGGTAAATACAAAATACTAATCTAGTCTTCTTGATTTACAAATATCATTTTTGTGAACACTTATTACAATCATTAAATTTTACTTATAGTTATATAGTGGACACACGATCAGTTAGTCAGGCACAGAGTGCTCGAGCTAGAGGCGGAGGCACAGAAATGGACACGGCTTATCCACAATGGCGAAAAGTGCATAAACCAGTTCCTCGGCCGCACGATTTGGCCGATAGCTTTTATAAATTAATAGAGGCATGCAATGACGTAAACAATTCTACTTCGCAATGGCTGTCGAAGTTGGATAGCAGCGGATGGCTAACCGCTGTGCAGAGTGCTTTAAACGCTGCCTGTGTCACCGCTCAATGTCTGCATCAAGAAGCCGCAGCTGTGCTAGTGCATGGTTTGTGTATATTATATTAACATTAATATTGCGGAAACACGTCGAATTTGTTTAATCTCCTCCGAAATATCAATAATAATCATATTGTTAATTTTGGATTATAGGAAGCACAGGCAGAGATTCTACATTGGTGGTAACCAGTTTGGCTCAGGTAATATTGAATCCTGATTGTCGGACGGTGCGAGGACTTCAGGCTCTCATAGAGCGCGAATGGTTGCAAGCCGGCCATCAATTCTTCAGCCGGACTCGCTGCGGAGCGTATCAGCCTTCGAACTCACAAAATCCGACGCACGCGCCGACTTTCCTGCTTTTCTTGGATTGCCTCTATCAGCTACATTATCAATTCCAATTTAGCTTTGAGTATACTGTGGATTTGCTCATTAAATTGTACAAGCACGCCTATTCCTCGAACTACGGTACATTTTTAGGTATGTCAAGTGCTAATCACACTTTCTTTTTATTTCTTTTGCTTTAAATTATAGGCCTATTTTACTTAGCTGAACTTAGTTGAAGATATAATGTAACGTTTTGAATTTACTGTCATATTTATATCCAACATATCTAAGTCTAAATAAATGCGATCTTTTATTTCAACAAATCAAAATGTTATTTGCTTATTTATTCATTGCTACATATATTATTCGTTTTATAGGCGATTCCGAAGCTGAGAGGATAAAATTACGACTATCTGAGCGAACTTACAGTTTATGGTCGTACGTGAATCAACCAGATGTTTTAGAACAGTGGATAAACCCATTATATGAGCCGAATCCGGGAGTGGTTTGGCCTAGTGTTGCACCCATTAGTATTCAATTGTGGAGAGAACTATATCTCGCACATACAAGCGCAGCTCTATGGGATGGCATGCTCTCTTACGCGAAACAGATCAAGCAAAATCACACAGCGGTGCGCAAAGTGGCCGGTCAATTGCAGGCACAAATCAAGCAAGCCTTGGAAGAAATCCGATCGGATCCAGATATATCACGGGCAGACATAGACAATCAAGAGGACCATCCCTGTATAGCACATTTAAGCCTGGAGTCCCAGAGTACTTGATACAGATTGTAGAAAACCGAAATTCGTGCTGCTGTTCAACGATCTTGTCAATATGCCTTTAATTATACAATACCATGTTAATCCGCAAGGATCAACAATCTTCACAGTAATCTGCCACGAATGCTAAAGCCTTCGTAATGAATTCTTGATGCGGTTCTTTCGTCTTTTTGTTGAGATGAAAAGAAAGGGTCTACTAGTCTAAGAATAGCTCTACGAGAGAAAGAGAGAGAAAGAGAGAGATATTCATGGAGTGATTATCTTTGTCAATATAGATTTAAATATTGTGTACATTTTAAAAAGTATTTCTCTCACATAATCAACATTATTATACAACGTTATTATTATGATCACACGATTTTCGCCTAAATAGTAAAACTCATTACATTGAAAGGACATTACACTCTATTTAAACAATTTAAACAAAATGAGATAAATTTTGATATTTTTTATTTCATGACAAATGCATAATTTGTATCATAAAACAGAGCTACAATGTCATACAAACACACACACACACACACACACACACACACACACACACATGTGTGTGTGTATATATATATATAATATGTAATTTATTTATCCAAAGGTAAAATAATATAAAGAAATAAAAATGGATTGTATATTGTAAATCCATCATTAAAAAGCACAATTGCAAGGATAGAAGTTGCAAATTTTTCATTCGAGCGCATGAAGAGAAGGAAATCTCGCTCGTTCGGGGGTACGGACGAGTTTTTACCGTTATTCGGGAAGGATGGCGGGAAGGCGAGGGAGAAGAGGGGGAAGAGGTTAAGGGCAGGATTGTTGCCACTGCTCTGGCAAAAGGGGGAGAAGATTGGAGGGGAAAGCGCGGCAGGTGTTCACACACAAAGAAACTGAAAGGGAATCCCACGGCCATTGGCTCCGCCACTCAGGAATGCATCGAGTTTCGTCAGTATTCGCATTTCGCGATCAAATATACGTGCAGGTACGCACGTATGTGCATCCTCTTGATCGTGAGACAAGAGGAAAGATAGCATGTTCGTATGCTGCATAAAGCTGTAAACAAAAGCCTAGGAAGACAAAGCCTAGGAAGACAAAGCCTAGAAAGACAAAGCCTAGAAAGGCAAAGTCGACAATCAAGGCGATCACAGAACTTTAAACGAAACCAAAGCGAACGAAGATCATCGGTGCACGATCTTAATCTAATGCGAGAGTAGCATTATTTATAGTTTATATCCTTAATGTACTTTAAAGGTCCCAAGATTACATCTCTAAACATAATGAATAAATTCGCACGTCGTCTGGAAGGTCTCGAACATGGCAAGAGCTTTCCCGCCCTCAATCGAGGCTGGTATAATCGTCAGATTTGATTCCCGATGTTTTATCCCCGCATTTCCGTTCGCCGCGAATGAACGTGGAGATCATTTCGGAGCACACGTCTATGGAAAATCCAGGAACTCTTGATCGACGAGGAACGGACGAGGAACCATGCAAAAGATCTTCAAAGTCGGCTTCTCGAATACATAAATATGTTATTCGCTCGCGCAAATCCAAATATCTCCGATTAGAACACGTCCTTCGACGCGTCCACGACGCCATTTAGGCTCGACGGCAACGGCGACGACGCGCGCGAGCGCGCGCGAAGATTATTATACCGGTTTCGAATTTGTGCAATGGAGGAGATCCATGAGAAATCGCGATCTCGCGCTTGCGATCGTTACCTCATGATACCGCTGTGTAACTTGAAAATGTAGTATGCCTTTCTCTATTTCTTTCCCTCTTTCGCTTCCCGTCACTTTGGCTTTTATTTACCTCGCGATATTTCACTATTTCTAGAAGCTGAGGATGAGAAGAACAGGTGTGTTGGTCCACGCGTGCGCGCGCGCGTGTTCTCTCTCCTCGCCTCAGCACAGGTCCAGTATCCTTGGATGAGTGTGGATCTAGTCACGACATATTATCATGAAACGTGGACTGAATTCAAACCCATCCAGGGCCGCTGGACGGGCGTATCAGACAAACGTATCCCGCGTTGCCCAATCTTCCTTTTCTTCTGCCGGAAGTGTGCTCTTCTTCTCAGGACCGATTCTCGCGGAAATTTCCTTATTCTCGTCCAAAGAAACACAAACGTCGTCGACGGAGCCGAAGAACAGAGTGATGCGTTTGTCGGGAATGGCATTAGCAGTCTCACTCTGTGGTAGGGGCATTCTCGGAGAAGGGGCCCATACCGCTGTTCTCCATCTCTTTCTCTCTCTTTCTCTCTCCTCTCTTTCTTTCTCTTTCGATCTTCGTCTTACAATCTCTGCTCTCTCTCTCTCCCTTTCTATCTTCCTCACAGGCAGGCAGTTATCGTCCATGAGGCCCTTACGGAGGGGCAAGAGAAGGGACGCTTTTTCCCAAGGCGTCCGGGGATCACAACAAAGAAAGATGCGATTTTCGAAGCGAAGAATGGAGAAGCGAAGCGACCGCGAGGAGACGTTTCTGGATAGCAGTCTGAAAGTGGTGGTAGAACGGTGATCTTTCTCTCTTCCTCTCTCTTTTTTTCTCTCTTGCTATTAGAGCGGAGATATATATATACCGGAAAGCGATGATGTTTTCTCGAACAAAATGCGTTACAATTTCCGCGAATCGGCGAGATGAATGCCAGCTTCTTTTATCAATACGCGAGAAGAAAGCGGCGTCCTTACAAAGACGTTGTATTAAGCGGTTGCTGCAAAGTTTCGGCTTCGGATTCGAGCACGTAAGATATTCACGCGATCTCGAGTCTTGATTTTGAAAAATTTGAGCACCACTGTGAACTCCAGGATCAAAGAGCTCTAAAAGTGGATGGACGTCTCCTTCTTACCTGAAATGAAAATTCAAAGAATTTCGATCACGCACTCGTGAACGAATAGAAAAGAAATTTTTTTTACCTGGATTCAGTTCGTAAAAACAAATTGATTTTTTTGATGTTTAACAAGATAAAGGAATAACATTCCTTTCCAATTTGATATTAAATGAGTCCCAAAATTATGGAGCACTTAAGATTCTTTAAAGAAGACAATGATGTAAAACTTAAAAACCTATTTGACGATACATCCTTTGATCGCTCTAAGAATTCGAGTCCTTTGTGGCAACTTCTTTATGTCTTACGCATTGTTGTACTTCGGATATCCTCGATATCGCGTATTCCCAGGTACGGGATGAATGTGTTGCGCAACAGCGAGCGTATGCGTGACCTTGAACTTCATCTTTCTTTTATCTTACTTCTGCAGCATCCTAAGAGAAAAGCTAGCGCAGCGGTGGTTCGTTTGCGAGATGCGGCGTCCGTTTCGTCAATTTATACGCGAATAATTCCGAGCTCGGAAAACTTCATTCCTTCGTTAGACAAGAAATCTAGATAATAACAAGGCAATGTTATTAATTTCAACGTCAAATTCTCAAAATATTGATGAAGAAAACAAATATAGTCTTTCCGTCTAATCTTTTTCCAACTTTTGTCTCTTGAAGCTTCTTGAAGAAGCTTCTTGAAGCCTCTTCGCTTCTTGAACAACGTAAATTTATTAGGAATTCTATAAGCATAATTCTACAAGCTAATTCTACAAGCATTTTTTTAGATTTTAAATAAATTTCCAAAAAGTGGATAAAAAACATAAGATTATGTTGCATGCAATATTCAATAATTCTTAGAGTTCAACATTTTAAAGTACATAACTCTAAATGCTTAAAAATCAACTAAATAAATTTTAATTTCATTAATGTGATTCTTAAGTGAAACGATTTTATCTGTAGATGCTTCTTTAGTCTCGGACATTATTTTTTTACAAATCTCTAAGGGGTAAATATCACATAAGAGTGTTAAGCATCTAAAATCTATTTGTGAACTGCTTGGGATGTTAAAGGATCGCTAGAAACCGAGGAAAATCGTGATAAAAAAAAGCAACAACATAGGTAGATGCAAACGGAGAATGCGTTATAAACACCGAACCGCAAGACAATCGACAATTTACGGAATGAACTTATTCTCCGCAATCGAACTGAAGTTGTTTGGAAGAAACATTATTTCATTCTCGATATATTCGAAAAAAAGGCTAAAACACGCGTAATCAACGCGTTGAGCACGAGATAAAGTTCGATCGAGAATTCAAAATTGTTTGAATTGATTGTTTATTAATTTCTCGGACTAAATTTGAATTAATATTTTTGATTTTTTTAGAATAAATGATTTACTTGCGCGGATAGCAGTGGCGTCGGAAGTTCGAGAATACGAAATCGCAATCTCGAAGTTATCATTTTGACAGGAAAAATCAGAGCACCACTGTTGAAAGCTACGGATACTCTAAGACGGTTGCGAATAGAAGGGGAAGGGAGAGAGAGAGAGAGAGAGAGAGAGAGAGAGAGAGAGAGAGAGAGAGAGAGAGAAGAGAGAGAGAGAGA